TATGATTCAGACAAAAATGAATGAAATACTCTCACTGCCACAAGATAGATGGAATTGGAGGTCATCATGTTAAGTAAAATAAGTCAAGCACAGAAAGACAACTATTATATGTTTTCATTCATATGTGGGAGCTAAAATATGCTGGTTTCATGAAGATAGAGAGTAAATTGATTGGTGGTTATCAAAGGCCAGAAGGGTAGCATGGAGAGAGGAAGAACAGAGTTGATTAATGGGTACAAATATAAAATTCGGTAGAAGAAATAAGATCTAGTGTTTGACAGATCAGTAGGGTGATTATAGTTAACCATAATCTATCGTGTATTTCAAAATAACTAGAAAAAAAAATTCAAAAATTTCTAGCATAAAGAAAAGAACTATTTAAGGGATGGCTACCCATATGACCTTGATTTGATCTTTATACATTACATGAATGTATCAAATTATCACACGTACACCAAAAATATGTACACTTATCAATAAAAAATAATTTTATGAGAGTGATTTGAACACAAGCAGTCTAGACTAAGGCCACATTCTTTCTTAACATCTATATTATTATAAATACTCTACTGGTTATAAATAAAAGAATTATACCTGTTTAAAGAAACAACTGGATTTTTTAATGACCAGACGAGACTAACAAAAATGATCAAGTATACTTGATAAAGGACAATACAAAAATAAAACTGACCCCTACCTTGTATTACACACAGAAAAGTCAGTTCTAGGAGGATTGGGAATATAAATGTGAAAGTAAGATAATAACATTTCTAAAAGATAACATAAAGGAATGTCTTCATGATCACAGAATAGGGAAAGTACAAAAAGCACTAATTACAAAGGAAGAGATTATTAAAATGGATTACATTAAAATTAAAACCTCTGGCCAAGTGTGGTGGCTCACACCTGTAATCCCAGCACTTTGGGAGGCCAAGGTGGGTGGATCACAATGTCGGGATCACAACCAGCCTGGCCAACATGGTGAAACTCTGTTTCTACTAAAAATACAAAAATTAGCCAGGTGTGGTGGCGCATGCCTGTAATCCCAGCTACTCGGGAGGCTGAGGCAGGAGAATTGCTTGAACCCAAGAGGCAGAGGTTGCAGTGAGCCAAGACTGTGCCACTGCACTCCAGCCTGTGCAACAGAGCAAGATTCCATTTAAAAAAAAAAAAAAATTAAAACCTCTATTTATCAAAAAATACCAAAGAATGAAAGAGCAAGCCATAGAGTAGAAAGATTAGAAAGATATTTGCATGAAAAGATATTGGTAATAAACATAACTGACAAAGGGCTTGTATCTAGAATATATAAAGAACTCCTACGACTCAATAAAAAAAAGACATACTCCAACAGCTAATAGGCAAAAGATCTGAACTCCTACTTCACAAAAAAAAAATAACCAAATAGCCATTAAAAATATGAAATGATGTTTGACATTTTTAGTCATCAGGAAAAATGTAAATTTGAAACTGCAATGAGATACATCCATCAGAAAGACTAAAACTAAAGAAAAACTAATAATACCATAAATAATACCATATGCGAAAATGGAGCAATTGAAAGCAGTCTGAAAAAGTGAAGGAAGCCTAGCACAAAAGAATTTTTTTTTTGGTTTTTGGTGTTTTGGGTTTTCTTTGCAGTTTTTACAGTTTTATTTAAACATAAAGCATGAACATGAGGTAGCTACTCATTTTCTTCACTGCGCAGCCTGGCATTGCGGTTGGTGACTATGATGGCCAGCTGGGCAGCTCATTCCACGACGGCTTTGCGGTTCTTGGAGGAAACATCTCAGCACAGTAAGATTTGTTGTACATCAGCAGCACTTCCAGCTCCTTGACATTGTGGACCAGGAACTTCCATAAGCCACTGGGCAGCATGTGCTTTGTTTTTTTCTGTTGCTCCCACAACCAATGTTGGGCATCAAGATCGACCCTTGAACCTTCTATGAACCCTGTTGTCTATACCTCTGAGTTTCTGCCAGTTACACTTAATTCTGACATATCGGTCAGTCTGGTGCCAGATGAACTTCTTAGTTCTCTTTTTGACGATCTTGGGCTTCACAAGGGGTCTAAGGGTGGCCATGATGCCGAGGAGGAGATGGCTGCCACCTCTGTAGGCACTGCCGAGAGAGGGGCTTTTTGTTTTTTGAGACTTTAATTTAAATTTTACTTTAAACCAACAACAAAAAAAAAACTTACAAAATACAAAGTAAAAAGAATGAGAACAAAATAAATTTTCAGATACACAAAAATTGAAAAGTTCATACCACAAGACTTCACTAAATGAACACTGAAAGATGAACTTCAGAAAAAAGCAAAATGATCATGGACAGTAATGTAAAGATATAGAAAGATGAGGCCATGCAGGTAGGTAGGAGCCAAATTATGTAAGTCCAGCATGCCAAGCCAAGGAATCAGAGGCTCCACAGGGATCCAGGGAGGTTCTAAATGGCAAAGTGATTTGATCAGTCCTGTTCATATTATTCTGCCCTTCCTCTTTCTATGTTTGCTTCTTTAAAGTATCATTTAAGTATCATTTTCACTCCAATCTCACTGTGATCTATCCTTCAGAATTTCTAGACCACTTTTTAAAGAAGGTGGAGTCTAGGTCTCCACTGGCCACTTTACTGTAGGTTAGACAACTGAAGTAGCAAATTAACTAGTATCCTCCATTTATGCAGTACTGTTTAAAAAATGAAAAAGTTGGGCCAGGTGCGGTGGCTCCTGCCTGCAATTCCAGCACTTTCGGAAGCCGAGGCAAGCAGATCTTTTGAGGCCAAGAGTTCGAGACCAGCCTAGCCAAAATGGTGACACTCCCTCTCTACTAAAAATACAAAAAGTAGCCAGGCGTGGTGGCAGGTGCCTGACACCCAGCTACAAAGGACGCTGAGACATAAGAGTCACTTGAACCTGGGAGGCAGAGGTTGCAGTGAGCTGAGAGCACACCACTGCCACTCCAGCCTGGGCAACAGAGCAAGACCCTATCTCAAAAAAAAAAATTTTAAATTTAAAAATAAATAAGTTGTCTATGAGGCAGAGAGAGGTGAAGTTAAAAAATAAAAACACTAGATAGCAGATGAAGGAAACAACTGGCAGGAAGAGCAAATCTATGTTTAATTTTGCCAATTTATCTTTTGCTGATATGGTTCCAGAAAAAAATCGATCAAACGTAAGGTACATAAGATGGGTGTGATGTAAGATAATAAGTGTTCATGTCAACATATATACTACTTCATTTTGTGAGGGACTAACAGAATAATTGGTTTCAATGTCTTTATTTTTTAAGAGATGGGGTCTCACTTTGTTGTACTGAAGTGCAATGATACAATCACAGCTCACTGTAGCCTCCAATCCCTGGGCTCCCAAATCCTCAGCCTCCCAAGAAGTTAGACTATAGGCACACATCACAACACCCAGCTTTTTTCTTTCTTTCACTTTTTTTGTAGAGAGAGGGTCTCACAATGTTGCCCAGGCTGGTCCCAAACTCCTGGCCTCAAGTGATCCTCCTGCCTCAGCCTCTCAGAGTGCTGAGATTATAGGTGTAAGCCACCATGCTCAGCCAACAGTTTAAATTTCTTAAACAAGATCAAACATTTAAAAGTTTGTATCAATGAAAAACTAAAACATTTGCTTTATTTAAAATACCTGGAAGGTTTCCATTGTAGTCCACATCTTCTATGCTACAACCCCATTTAACAAGAAGTTGCAAGCAGCCAAGCCGTCCATGAAAAGCTGCATAATGTACAGGTCTCCATTCTCTCTTATCGGCCACACTGGGATCCTAGAGGTAACATTCACAAGGACTTAGTTTCTCCCTATTTTGTAGGGAAAACACTAAACCTAGCAGCTTAATTCTATAAATAAGAATTGGAGGCTGCTCTTAATACAAGAAGGCAAACACTTAACATAATAGAAAAATGCACTGCAACCACTAATTTGAATATATGAGCTAATAAAATACTAGTAAAATTTTATAAAACAGGCTTTTCAAAAGAACGAGTCACATAAAATAGTTTTTAAAAAGGAACTTAACTAGTCATCTTACCAGTTAGATTCCTGACCAATAAAATGAAAGGGATAGATTGAATGATCAAATACTATCATTGAGAATATAAACAGAATTAATAAAAAATATTTAATAAGTTTTCACTCTTTCTCAAACTATAGAAACACCAACTCTCACCACAATGTCTTCAATATATGTAGTTCTCTTCTTCTATGTTATTTATTACAACTACTACAGATAAAATTAAATATTGCAATAAACAAAATTTCTGAAGAAATAAATCACTTTCTAAATCAGTATATGAAATAAGAGTTTCAAAACAAACACAGAGGTAGACATACAAAAATTCATAAAGATTTACAATCACCTGGTTAAGATTTGTTTGAAGCTTCGTAATCTAACCAGTTAAACTCTGAACTGGCATGAAGAACCCAAAACCTCTCAAGTACTTTGTAATACTAAATTGTTTTTTGGGGGAGAAGAGAAGATTTGTCTGAATTATTGCTTCTATGTTTAAAGATAGAAAAGGTAGAGAGAAAAATTAAATTAGCTTCCCAAAGTCATATAAGAGATCTAAAAAGTCAGGAAGAGACAACTAGACTACCAAATGCTATTCCATCTACATTATCATACATTAGCACATATTAATAGGAGTCACTCACCACTCCACTTCGAAGCATTATTTGTAAAGTAAAAGAATGTCCGTGAGTTGCAGCAAGATGTAAAGGAGTGCATCCCCGGTCATCCTGGGCTGTCAGATTTGCTCCATTCATTATAAGAGCCTAAAAATAGAGAAATAGGAACGACTTTACATGAGTATAGATGTTAAACCATAAATGCAGATGCAGATTATACAAAGGCAATTTATTAATCTATAGCTAAATTATTATGTATGTTCTTACATGTGTGCTACAAGCAAATCGTAAGAAATTCTTAGCTAATACTAAGAAAATGTTTTGTTTTGTTTCTTAAGATTATAGAAACTTCCTCTCTAATCAAGGCTTTTAACATGAACAGATTTCTTGAATAAAATGGAAAGTTTCCAGTACACTGAAACATAAATCCACAAGTCGCCAGGCAGGATAAAACACCTGGCCGTATAAAACAAAAACAGCAAGTTTACATGATCCCTGTAACACCCATGGTCTCAAACTCAGATGCTTCCTCCATCTGCCAACTGTGTTCTGGATACAGAGCACATCGTGGCTTCTGGGATCACACTCAGCTGAGGCTGTGGGTCCACAGAGCACTCATCTGGCTGGGCTATGGTGGTGGTGGCTCTACTCAAGAAGCAAAGCAGTTACTAGCACATTCAAACAGTGTATGGAACATATTTTAAATATCAAAGTGAGAAACAAGAAGGCAACATAATAATGTTATCAGAAAGATGTTAGGAAGTAAGGAGAGCTGTGTAAAGCTTGAGGCTGAAAAGCAGCTTGCCAGCTTCCTTTCTTTGGCTTCTTAGGTAGTGGGTGCCAAGACAGCAAGATGTGACGTTCTGGTTCATGGATCATATAATGGACCCATCCCTGACTCTGCTGAATGCCAAGATTCCTCCATTCAGATTCAGACATCAAATGGGTTTTACGGACCAGCTTGGCTATGTCCGTGGGCAGCATGACATGTTGATACTCAAACTCCTCATCGTCATATTTGTCCGAATAGTAAATTTGTTTGTGCAACATGATCACTTGGTTTGCTAGCCTTCAGCCCCGTGCCGCCAAGCAACTCCCAGCAGCACGTGCTCCCACCCACTTTGGCCTCAAGAAAATGTTTTAACATTGCCTAGAAGACATTTATAATATTGGTTTTACATTTTGATTTGAGCATGTATATATAATTTATAAGACACATCTTTCATGAGCACAGATAGCCACTAAGTTAAATTCTTTAATTCTAACCTAATAAAACTGAAATTTAAACCTTCACTAATTCAAAAGCAGAATCCTTTGTTAACAAGGTTTTGGACTCAATCAAAGAATTAATTATTAAAGTGACGAGTTCTAAGCTCCAAATCAAGTTTCTAAGTACATCTAAAGAGGTCCCATCTGAATTTGCAATTGGCCCAGTTTCTATATATGGGTTATACCATATACAGAGTAATTGGCTTAGAAGAATTATTAGTCCCAGCCAGGAGCGGTTGCTCATGCCTGTAATCCTGACACTCTGGGAGGCTGAGGTGGAAGGATCACTTGAGCCCAGGAGTTGGAGACTCTTCTATACTTCACCATTCCTGTAATCTTTATCTCCAGCCCCCTTTTCAACCGCCTGGACCCTCTTCTACCTGGATGACCTACAGACACATTAAACTCAATGTATGCCAAATTGAAATCAACATCTGTCTTCCCAGTGTTCCTTGCTTTTCAGATTTCCCTATTCATTCCATCATAATTATCTGTTATTCTGACTCAAAATTTGAATTTTCACTATACTCTGTCAATGTTTGCTTTGTAAGATACCTTGGCTCATTTTCTTTCTTTCCCTCTACCACCACCTATTTTTACCCTCTCTGGTTAGTGATTATAGCAAAAAATCTCTAACTGACCTTCTTGTCTTTAAACTCTTCCTTCATCCTAGTAATCCTGGACACATTTTGCTAGAATAATTCCCTGAAATACTGTTTTCATTATCTCATTCCCCTGTTAATGTCCATGTGGATGTTTATGTGTATGTATAAATATATATACAGACATATTCACACACACACATGCACACACACATATAATGTATATAAAAACTCTCTTTTCGCAGCCAGATGCAGTGGCTCATGCCTGTAATCCCAGCATTTTGGGAGGCCAAGGCAGGAGGATCACTTGAGCCCTTGAGTTCAAGACCAGCCTAGGCAACATAGGGAGAAACCCCTGACAGACATCTCTACAAAAAAAATTAGCCAGGTGTGGTGAAGCATGTTGGTGGTCTCAGCTACTTGGGAGGCTGAGGTGGGAGGATCGCTTGGACCCGGCAGGTTGATGCTGCAGTGAGTCATGACCAGGGCACTGCGCTCCAGCCAGAGCGACAGAGCAAGACCCTGTCTCAAAAAACAAAAACATAAACAAAACCTCTCTTTTCTTTCCAGGTAATCACAGGGTTGAGGAGGGGGAAAAAAACTATCTTTCTATAAAATGAATCCAAAATCTTCATTCTCTTTCTGAGGCACTTTACAAAACTGGTCTACCCAAGCATGGTTCTTAACAGTCCACACCATAAATAATCTATACTCAGTCAAACTAACATAATGGTATATCCTCTGAACATAGCCCAATTTTCCAATTCAGGAGCTTCTTACAGAAGTATAGCATAGAGATTAATGGGACAAGTCTAGGTTCAGATCCTAGCTCTGTCACTTGCTTAGGCAAGGTACTTAACACTCTGAATCTGTTTTGTAACCTATATAAAAGCGAACTCATAGAACTGTTTGTGTTGGATGAAATGATACATGAGAGACTGACTGACACACAATAAATCTTCAATGAATGACAATTATTATTTTTATTTGCTCCTAACATATTGCCTGCCTCTATAATACTTCCTCATTACTTAATCTTTAAAATCAACCCACTCTTTTGGGCTTAACTGATGTTTTATTTCCTCTATTTATGATTCCTCTACCTCCTCCTAAATTATACAATTCTTCTCATCTGTATTTTTCATTAGAACTTTAATCATAGATTTTGCTTTGTATCGTTTTGCAACTCACTGAGTAGAGCTCCTGACCCTTCAAACAATCTCATGCTTCCTCCTGGCAGGAACTGTGATGTGGATTGGCTGTGTCCCCCCTCAAATCTCATTTGAATTGTAGTTCCCATAACCTCCACATGTCATGGGAGGGACACGGTGGGAGGTAACTGAATCAGGGGGTGGTTACCCCCATGCTGTTCTCATGATAGTGATTGAGTTCTCACGAGATCTGATGGTCTTATAAGAAGCTTTTCCCCCTTTGCTCAGCAGTTCTCTCTTCCTGCCATCCTGTGAAGAAGGACGTGTTTGCTTCCCCTTCCACCATGATTGTAAGTTTTCTGAGGCATTCCCAGCCATGTGGAACTGTGAGTTAACTAAACTTTTTTTCTTTATAAATTACCCAGTCTCGGGTATTTCTTCATAGCAGTGTGAGAATGGACTAATACCAACTGTTTGCTTATATGACTCTGTATTCCTCCAAATTCCAGTCTATTTCAAAACACTGAATAAATACAATTACTCTAATATACTAGATCCCACCATATATTAAGGTGTCCCCCTGGTCAGACAATACATTAAATATGAAATTTTAGGCATGGCCAAATGTCTTAGTCTGTTTAGACTACTATAACAAAATATCATAAACCAGGAAGCATATAAACAACAAAAATTTATTTCTCATAGTTCTGGATGCTGGAAAGTCCAAGATTAAGGTGCTGGCAGATTCTGTCTGGTGAGGGCTCATTCTGCATGGATAGTGCCTTCTCACAGCATCTTCATATAGTAGAAGAGGCTAGTGAGCTAGCTCTCTGAGGTCTCTTGCATAAGGACATTAATCCCATTTATAAGGGCAAACCCCTCATGACCTAATAACCTCCCAAAAGGCCTCACCTCTTAACACCATCACCTTGGGGTTAAGATTTCAACATATTTATTTTGGAGGACACAAACATTCAGACCACAGCAGCAAGCTATAAAGGAGATAATCTGGTCATGACTGTGAGATCTCACAAAACAACCCACATAGCCAACTACATCAGAGATAAAAGGATTTCTGGTTGCATACCATTTATTTAAGTGGATAGCTGGTATCAGAATATCTGAGTTGTGGAATCCAGTAAGTTATTGTTTAGAACATAAAACTAAATCTATTGAGTCAAATAATTAGCATAATAGCAATAGCCCAATAGAACTATGTTAAAGTAATTGAGCTTACTGAAAAAAAGTAATAAGGTATTATTACCTGTACACAAGCATCCTGACCCCTGATTGCAGCTATGTGAGATGCTGCCCAACCTCTCGTTGTTACGTGTGTGATATCAGCTCCATGCCAGAGCAGCCAATGAAGACACTAAGAAAATAACCATGTTAACAAGTGATAAGGTGGATGTTTTTAACATTTTTATCTTTTAAATTTGGTCTGTTATCATAAAATAACAGACTGTAGCGCAAGAAGTATCACAAGTGAATGAGAGATCCATGTACAAGAAAAACAAAAGCACAAGCACAGTGACACGGCAACCAACATTTGGCCTCACTGTTGGGTAAACAATAGAGACTAGTGGGAACCGTGGCAAACTGGAGACCATATTTCTTATCTGTAAGGTGTAGACACTACCAATTACAGTCAGTGGTTGCTATGAGTGAAATGCTTATCCAATGTTTGTAAATATTCTGTTTGACCAATACTGTGCAGGCCAAAGAAAACAGATCTAAGAATGAAATTCACTTAAAGGCTGCCAGTTTTCAATCTCGAACATAGATCTTTAAATGGGTCTAGAGTTTTTGCATCAGAGCACACATTGTTATTCTAGTGATTCTAAAAAACAAATAATTTAAAAAAAAAGAGAAGTCTAATGTATCTTTTAAGATTTTTAAAAATTAATCTAAATCTCAATATAATACAGTACTTAAAGATCTGTACCACATACAGTGTTACTGTCTTTGTATAATCAAGTTTGTATATTCTACCACCTTTCTTTTTAAAAGAATTGATCATATCATTGGGATACATTGTCACAGAAGTCATAATCATATTATTTGATAAAAAGGCTTATCAAGTAAATATCATTTGCCTATCACAGAGACTAATGACAATAAAATATAAAAAAACCTCAATCTCAATAATTATCATAGTAAGTCATTCATTTATTCAACAATATTTATGGAAAGACTATTATGTGCATTGTTCAGGTACTAGAGAATAAAGCCACTGTCAACATTCATGTACTGGTTTTACATTTGTCTTGGGTGATTATGTAGAAGCGAGATTGCTAGGACATAAAATAAGTATATATTTAACTTTATTGTAAAAACACCAAACTGTTTTCTAACATGGCTGTACCTCTTTACATTCCCACTAGCAATGTATGGGAGTTCCAGTTTCTTGATATCCTTGTAAACACTTTATATTGTCATTTTTTTCAGGTTTTGTTTTTTCTGCTATTCTTACAGGGAGGCACTGGCGTCTCATTGTGGTTTTAATTTGCATTTGCCTAATGGCTAATGATGCTGAACATCTTTTCGTATGTTTAATTGCCATCCATATGTACTCTTTGAGAAAGTGTCAATTGAAGTCTTTTGCCCATTAAAATTTCTCTTATGATGAGTTCTGAGAGTTCCTTATATAATCTGGTTACAAGTTCTTACATACATGATTTGCAAAGGTTTTCTTTTCTATTTTCTCTATAAGTTTTATAAGTTTTACATTTATCTACAATCTGTTTTGAGTAAATTTTTGCATACGGTACCAAGTATGGCTCAAGTTTCATTTTATTTTTTTAATTTTAGATTCAGAGGGTACATGTGCCAAGTTCGTTCATTTCAAGGATATATTGCATGATGCTGAGGTTTGGGCTTCTATTGAACCCATCTCCCAAATAGTGAGTGACTAGGTTACCAAACAGGTAGTTTTTCAACCCTTGCCTCCTTTCCTATCTACTTTTGGAATCCCCAATGTCTATTGTTCCCATCTCTTTGTCCATGTGTACCAAATATTTAGGTCCCACATATAAGTGAAAATATGTGGTTCTTGATTTTCCTTTTTTGTGTTAATTCACTTAGGATAAAAGGTTCATTTTCTTACATATGAATATGTGTAATTGTGCCAACATCATTTAATGAAAATATATCTGCTCTCCACTGAATTACATTTGCATCTTTGTTAAAAATCAATTGACCGGCCGGGCGCAGTGGTTCACGTCTGTAATCTCAGCATTTTGAGAGGCTGTGGCAGGTGGATCATTTAAGGTCAGGAGTTCAAGACCACCCTGGCCAACATGGTGAAACCATGTCTCTACTAAAAATACAAAAATTAGACAGGCATGGTGGCAGGCACCTGTAGTACCAGCTACTCAGAAGGCTGAGGCAGGAGAATCACTTGAACCCAGGAGGCAGAGGTTTCAGTGAGCTGAGATCATGCCACTGTACTCCAGCCTGGGCAATAGAACCAGATTCTGTCTCAAAAAGAGAAAAGAGAGAACAGAGAAGAGAACCGAACCAGATGGAAATTCTGGAGTTGAACAGTATATCTGAAATGAAAAGTTTACTATGGGCTCAAGAGCAGATTTCATCTGAAAAAAACTGTCCAATAAAGCATAGTTTTCACCAATTGTTAATTTAGTGATTATTTCTCGCAACCAATATATAAATACCAAAAATCTTAAGAAAATTCAGAAAGGATAAAAAGCTGTAAATGTGTTAATGTAGTGCTCAAGTAAAGATTTAGGGCCAGGAGCGGTGGCTCACGCCTATCATCCTAGCACTCTGGGAGGCCGAGGCAGGTGGATCACAAGGTCAGGAGTTTGAGATGAGTCTGGCCAACATAGTGAAACTCCGTCTCTACTACAAATACAAAAATTAGCCGGGTGTGGTGGCACGTGCCTGCAGTCCCAGCTATTCGGGAAGCTGAGGCAGAAGAATCATCTGAACCCAGGAGGCAGAGGTTGCAGTGAGCAAAGACAGCAACAGAGCAAGACTCCCTCTCAAAAAAAAAAAAAAAAAAATTTAGGAGATGACCTTTAAGTGGGAATAGAGGAAAGCACTAAAATCTTTGCTTTCTGTTT